ATATATATATATATATATATATATATATATATATATATATATATATATATTTGGATTCTTAATACAATATGAGTAAAGAGATATGCGTTCCTCTGGTTTACATGACTGTAGCTCTCTTCCCTTCATGTTTATGCAGAACAAACTGCTTATAAATCAACATTAAAGAAAGTTGACAATACTAGTCCCTGAACAAACTCACTTCGTCGACTTTTCTCCTCCTTATCTTCACCAGAAACTATAGCACCCTTNNNTATATATATATATATATATATATATATATATATATATATATATATATATAATCCCCATATCAGTAACAAAATGTAAAATTGGTTTCTAGTTTATTAATTATAAAGCTTTTCTTTTTATTTAGACACATCAGATTTTATCTAACAAAAACCTATTTATTATCATGAATTTTCTTCATCTATTTGTCATTTTTTAAAGGCGTGTCATGTTTTTAATGAGAAAGATTATTTGAGAATATAACATTCGTGTCATGTTTTTAATAAGAAAAGATTATTTCAGAATATAATTTGTGTCATGTTTTTAATAAAAAAGATTACTTGACAATACTAACATTTAATGATAAAAATAAAATATGCCAGTTAGGAATTTATAAAGATTTAAATGCAATGAGATTTTTTTTCTGTAGAAAGATTTGCAATTTAAATAATTAAAACTGTAATGCAAGAATTGGCATTAGTGATTCTTACCTTGTCAAGAAATCTTTATTTGAGCCTTCCACTATTGAAACTGCTGCAGTAGAGGAATGAGATTGATCTTTTGACACGTCATCATCAGGGGTATTATTGTAAATAAAAGAAGACAACAATGGATCAGGTTCTGTGTTCATAGATGATGATGATGGAATCAGAAATGAAGAACCTCCAAGAACAGACTGCAAGTTTCCTTCTCTTAATTCCTTTTTCAAAATAGAAAAAGTTGAATTTGATCCAACTCTACGCAATCTCCTCTTGCGTTGAACGTTTTATTAAGTCAAGAAATAGCAACATAAAATAATTTTAAAGTAACTATTATAAAAATAAGGAATGAGTTTAATAAAAAGTAAAAAGGATATCTTTAGAAGACTTCCATGTTGCATTGTAATATGGCTCACTAAACCAGTTCCCACTTTTTTTGCACATATGGGGCATACCTGTAAGTATACATACAGAAAATTATATAATGAATAACAGTTTTGGGGGTTTATTATATTTTATATGTAAGAAGAAAGTGGTGAAAAACTGAAAATTATAATGATAATGATAATGATAATGATACCCCATTCTTTGCTTGAACTGTGTGTTCTTCGTCGATGTGACAACAGAGACCTACAATGTCAAAATCTTCAGCACAGAATGGGCATAAGTACTCAGGTCGTGGTTCATCATCGGTTTCTTCTACAAGATGAAATGCGTCTGATTAGAAACATGGATGTTAGAATTGAAACTGATTTCACTGGAATCGGAATCTATAAAGAAGGAAAAAAGTTAATGGGAGTTTAATTTGGTTCATATGCTTATATGAGCTTTTATTAGGGTTTGTGTTTGTTTGTGTAAGTTGAGAGACTAGATAGTTCGTAAATATAGAAGAAAGTATTGGAGAAAAGGGAGAGATTTTGGTTTTGTAAGGCTAGAAATTGAAAAATCTTAAATTTCTACTTCATCTTTCATCCGTGATTGAGATTTTCTCTAATAGTTTGCAGAAGGATAGATGAATGATAAGATTATACCGGAAACACAATCGTCGATCACTGCATATGAAATTAGCATCATTTCCCCCAAAAAGCAAAACAGAAAAATGGAACTTTTAAACCCTAACACGCTTTTTAGAAAAACGTCGGTGGATATCAAAATAATTCATATGCATTTCTTAGTGATTTATCAGAAGAGAGGTAAACCTAACAGTTTGAATCAATCAATCGCATGATCAATTGATCATATACATGTACTTCAAAATTAAAGTAAGCAACAGTGAATTCCTAAAATCATTGCAATCTCTAACGCGGTTTCTCAAAAGAAAAATCAAATTAACAAAAGAAACACAAACCTGATCGAGATTGATACCGCCTTAGAGAAGAATTCGAAGTAGAGAAACGAGTCCATGAATTTGTGTCCATTTCCTTTGATCCGAATCGTGAATGTTCAAATTTATCTCAAATAAGAAAAAATCCCGAATTTTTTAGGGAAATTCAGATAATCTGTTTGATCATCCGTCGATAAACACAAATTTGTGTATGTATTGGTTTGATTTCGGAGGAGAAAGTTGTGTAATTTCTAGAGAGAAAGAGAGCACAGAGGAACTCTCCACCAAACTCCCCTGCTCAGGGTATGTTAATGTTATATATTGTTAGCTTCTTACAGACCATAAAGTCCCTCATGTTTGTAGGAAAGTTATATTTTACCCTTTAAGTTTTAATGTTGTTTCACTCGAGTCCATTGGCAATTTTAATAGGAAAATACTAAAATAGTCAAATTTCTAAATAATCTGGTATAAAATAGCCTAAACTTTCACATGTTCTTCAAAATATTCTCTTATTTTGCAATGGTATATTGTAAAATTTAAATATTAAAAGATACTTAGATATTTTCTCTGCATCTTGTTCTTATCAGGAAATAATTTATATATTTATAAAAATAGATTTTCTAATAAGTGTCTAAGAAACAATAATTATGAAAAATATTATTATAATTAAATATGAAATACATTAATTATATGTATCATATTTTTCAATAAATACTCTCTATAATTAATTTATTTCACATTTAATTATGTTAATATTTTTCATAATTAATACTTTTTATGTGTGCATTTACGACACATGTTAGAAAAATCTCATTTTTACATTAATTTTTGTAAATTTCTTTCAATATAATGGTTGTTTGATAGTTACTGATTGGGTCAAGTCAATGTTTAATTGAATCACACTCAACCTCTATTAGACCCAATAAAAGATACTATATCAATAGTTATAGGAACGAATCATAGGCTTTTAAATATAGTATCAAACAATTTGAATTTAACCCAGTCAAATTGAACCTCTTATCAGGCCAGTAAGAAACATATCAAACAATTTTTTTAGCAATATAAAGCTTGATTGGATTTTCTAACATGTGTTGATATACGGTTTGTTGAGTCTAATAAAAGTTGAGTCTGATTCAATCAAACATTTTGGGCTAACTTTAATTACATATACATAAATTGTCGATTTGGGAAAAGAAGATAAATGAAATAACAATTTGATAAAAGATATGTTACTCATATAGTTCATTGATGGAGATTTATGTTGATTAAGTCGATTAAAATGGACAATAATACTATTGACAACTAGATGAGTGACCCTGCTTCGCGGGGGTCCGGATTTGTGAACATTTTTTGGTCCTACATGTGGGAGATCTGGAGTGAACGTGTTATGGGAATTGGAAACCATCGGTTGATTGTAAAACGGATCATGATCCTCACTTTTTTTTGTGCAATTGTTACACTCCAAATCGAAGTACTCAATAAACAAATATTTACTTTTTGATGCATAAAATGATAATAGAGTAAGCTACAAATTGGGTGTATGGTGATTATCCCTCCAATTCTGGTGAAATCAAGTGGTAAAATCTCACCTTCATATTACATTAAAAGTGAATAATTAAAAGCAAAAGAAAGAAAAATACATTTCAGAAAATTACAAATAAACAATGTGGGTTAAATGCAAGAAAAAGCAACACACTTCTAATTTTTTCCAATAACCGCATTGAACTTTGAAAATATATACAATTTGGAACGGAAAAATCTCCAGTTCTTGATTCCATTTACCTCAGCATTTCGACTTTCATCAGCTACTATAGATGTATTCATTTGAATTCCAGTCCCCTAAAAGAGTTACAAACCAAAAAACTATAAGTTTGTGCCAAACCAATAATTCATGTATATTCGGATAACAGGTAAGATCATAAAAATAAAATTTATTGGAAAAACTGTGTAAAAAATTAATATTAAAAAAAAACATAAAATTTGACAGACAAATTATTAGTATTCAATTTGGATAAAGGTAAATGAACAACTAATCAGTTAAACAGACCCATGAACTAACTTACCTCTTGGCAAAATCCTTGTACACGGACTGCCCCCCAAAGTC